CTCCCCCCTTTCCCCACCCCCTCCCCCTGTTTGAAAAATATGTTCTGAGCAGGGAGTGGTGCCATACCTTTAATCCCAGCACTCAGGAGGCAGAGACAGGTGGATCTCTGTGAGTTCGAGGCCAGCCTGGGCTATGGAGCAAGTTCCAGGACAGGCACAAAGCTATGCAGAGAAACCCTGTCTCGAAAAACCAAAACCAACCAACCAAAGGAACAAACAGAAAACTGTGGTCTGAACTTGTTCTTTCCTTGTTTGGATCCAGAGTTGCAAAATGGAACCGGCTAGTACTCGCTGTGGTTGCCCTGCTGAGAAGCCAGGAAGGATGTAGATACCCAGAGGTTTGAAAGGGCAGACTCCATCTTGCTGCAGACAGACTTGTCAGGCCTGGAAGACCTGCCTGCTCCGCAACCCGCAACTCCTACAGATGGCTGGGCCATTTTGTGGTTTACAAGTGACCAAGTCGGGCTGAAGCCACAGCTTCTGGTTATGGTTAACTGCACTTAGTCACACAGTGACCCTGTGGGGACACACCCTTTCCCTCTCTTTTCTGTAGCGCAAGTTCTTTTAAAAGAACATTATTCAACATCTTGCCAGCTTGATTTTAGAAACTGCCCATGTACACAAGGAAAAACAGAATTGCAAGGGGCTGTGGATTGAAGTCTGCCTGTAGATTCTACTGGGGCACCAGGAGTTGGTTTGCTGAAAGGGAACATATCTGAGTGTGGGAAGTAGATTTCTCTGACTGATGAGGAGAGGAGCTTTCCAAGTTCAAGGATAGCTCTTTTTGAAGGGATCCTGAAAGAGAATCTGTGAGGGAAAGAATAGAGTCCCTGGTTGCTTTGACTTGGCCATTTGTAAAATGAAAGTGGGGGTGGGGAGGGGCAGGAAGGGGAAGAAGAACCCTCAGGATGGAGGTTGATGTGGCTTTTTTTTAACTTCTTTAAAAAGCACTTCTTTTACCACAGGGGTACAGGAACTTGTAAATAAGAACTGCTTGTGATAGTAAACAAATCAGTCTGAGCTCTTTTATCTGAAAAAGTTCTCTCTCTCTCTCTCTCTCTCTCTCTCTCTCTCTCTCTCTCTCTCAAATGCAAAACAACCCCCCCCCCCATTCTTCAAGGCTTCTTTGCTGGTGTTTGTCCAGGAACAAACAGCCTTCTATATAAATGGTCTCCAAAAGTTCATGAACAAAAAAAGTGTCCACTGTCTGAGTACCCACAAAACGACCTCTGCTGCATAGCGGAGCTTTTCTGTCCTGAATTTGTGATCTGCTATCAGAGTCCTTTAATTTCTCTGAACAGAGGGCTCTTTGGGAGAAGAAAGGATGGGGGTGGGGAAGCCGCATTGGAATCATCGTTTTTTTTTCCCTCTTCCTTTGCTGTGTTCTTCTAGTCAGCAAGGAGTGTGTGACTCGCTCTGATCTGCCCCAGCGTCTCGCTGAGGTGGGAGCCTTGAAGGGTTAAGGGAGGCCACCCCCAGCTTCCCTGCTGAGTGGGACAGCTAGACAGGCCCCACCTCAGAGCTGTTCACAGAAAAGAGACACCCCACTCCTGACACCCTTTATCTCCTTTGGAGATTTTCCTTTTACTGTGTGTTTAAAATGCTTTTCAGTGATGACTGTCTTTTTAAAGCCATGGGTTTCCTTTAACCACCGGGAATCACTTTCAATGCTCCAAATGCATTGAAAGGAAAGGCAGCCATGGGGTGGGTGGGGTGGGGGTGCGCGGGACACAGACACTTTGACTACTGTTCGAGAGCTGGGAAAAAAAATCATTATTTGGGATGAAATTTTAACAGCCAATTAAGAGCATGTTAAACATTTGGCCACTTGTTTGCGGGTCGAAACTTCAATGTCATTGAACTCAATTTGACACCCTTTGAGCAGTCTCAGCAAAAGCCATGTGCTTTCTCTGGTACCTGGATTAGGGGAGGGACTAAGATATGCCAAGCCACGCTCTCCTGGCAACATATTCCAGTTAAGCAGAGCCAAGAAAGAACTTTTAAATTGAACTTTTTTGGTAGTGGAGATCCAATTGAGGGCATTATCCTAATATAAACCAAGTGTTCTATCATTGAGCTGAACTCTCAGCTCAAGATACCCTTGTTAGTTTCCCCGGCAGCAGCCTGCCTCTGCTGCCAAAGCAGCTAAATTACATCCTCACCTACGGCCAGGTGCCTTTCCGTCCTCAGCTGGGGGACACATGCACCCCTTAAAAGTGCCCGCCAGCCGGGCGGCGGTGGCACACACCTTTAATCCCAGCACTCGGGAGGCAGAGGCAGGCGGATCTCTGTGAGTTCGAGGCCAGCCTGGGCTA